AGATGGGGCCTGATTATTTAAGACCTTGTATGTGAGGAGCAGGATTTTGAATTCTGGATTTAACAGGAAGCCAAAACAGGCTTACATGGGCATGCAATCTGTGGGTATCAGGGGATAGTAGTGTAGTTTTGGACATTTTTACACACAAAGGTTTTTGAAAGGTGGATTTGTGAAGCTGATCTTAATGAACTGTGTAAATGATCAGAATGTCTTCAGGTTTAGATGAATTTTTAAAATAGTTTCACATGTGGTCAGGTTGCTTCGTATTTGTGTGTGGATTGAAGTGTGAGCTAATGAAAACACAAATTACTGCACAGATTTGTAAATGTTAGTTTCCTCTTGTGGATCATGTTGTACACATTGACAACCCTTATCAGGTAAACCTCTCTCCATTAGGCTGTGGAAGGCATGCTCACAATAACACTAACTAATAGAGGCAGCAGATACGAATTAGTGTGTCCCATTCAAATGGACCCATATTCAAAACAAAGTATTTTGCAGGATTAGTGCCTTTCTGTAAAGTGTTCCCATAATCAGCACCACCTTTTACTGTATTAGGAAGCAGCTCTACAAAAACAAAGTGAGGGAAAATAGAATAAAGTCAAACATTTAGATGATTGAAATATAGTAAACACAGTTTAATCATGAGTACATACGCATGCTACAATGTTTCAATTTACATACAAAACTGCTTTAAATGAGTTTCTAACTACTGTTGTATAACTTTGCAGATTAGTCACACAAATCCATCTTGTTTCGTGTCCCATCGTCTGATTTTTATCAGACTTTGGCAGTGAGCTGGTTATAAATACAAATATTAACTAAGCTTATATATTTCAGAATTTACTGATTATAGGCTTGTTTCTTTTTTAAAAACCTTTAATGTCATTGGAGTCAAAATCAGTATTGTTTTAGCTCGTTGGATTCTTGAAGACAGTCTCACGTGTGATGAGGATGTTTATGTTGGATGAATTAAAGAGCTGATTTGGTCGGGATCAAGTAAGCCTGGATTAGTCAGACGAGAGCTGAAGACTGGAGGCCTGGAGGAGAGACACGGTCGCCTTACTTCAGAAGTTTAGCTCCGCCCTTCCTCTGCGACTCTTATTTACAATCACTATTCTGACCAAAGCTCATTAACACAGGAGGAGGCGGGGTCTGTTTTACCTTTAAACACTTTCATGGTTTAGTTTTGTTTGATTAAATTCTTCGTGTCCACTGGATGAAACCAGTCTGCCAACGTGAGATTTGAGTTCGACTGCGTTTTCATTTTTCTTTTCCTTTGGTGGGCGTGGCGTTCACAGGCAGTGGTTGTCAGCAGCAGCAGGGAAAAGTAAGAAGTTGTGTGTGTGCACTCATTCACTACAGTGTTCACTGAGCTGCGTGTCAGCCAGAAAAGCCTCGGTGAGGGCGAGGGGTGTCTGTGCTTTTCCTGCTGCGCTCGCTGGTTTCCTCGCTGTGAGGTAAAGACAGAGCTTTACATGATTGGAGGTTCGTTGCTGGC